ATTTTTTAACAGACTGTGAACATAAGATACTGATCCATGCTGTCTCCCACGGGGCAAGGTGGTGAACTAATCATGTCCAGACCCACTAAGTCACAGCCGATAATTAAGGCACTTGGTATGGGGGTCTGTGTGTTGCAATCCTGGAGTGTGTCAGGACGGATTTTCCATAAATTCAAGAAAAGGTCCTCCAGCACCCTAATTTAAAACCTTTATCTTAGCTAATTAAGAACAGTATGGCTCAAACCAACGCATCACTTCACACCTAGTGTGTTGACAGTATACCACCACCCTGAGTGCAGGAGGAATGAAAACCTTACTTTTTTTTTTTTTTCCCCCTGTTTTTAGCTCTTCCAATATCTAAGATGTTTGCTGGAGAAGAAACACAGACACTCTTGCAGCCTTATGGTCAGGGTGACAAAGAAAAGCATGACAAGGTTTGCATACACTCGGCTCCAAATATCTGACATCTTCACATCACGAGATAAGTTTAAAATGCCACAGAAAACAGTTCTTGCCAAAAAGATGAATTCTCCCTCTCACAAGTGTGGTGTTGATTGATGTTGGAAAAGTTGGACAAAGATGCTGAGGAGTCTCAGGAAAGTTTTTTGTTTTGTTTTTTAAATAATGGAGGTTAATTAAGCCCCACATCTGTCAAGTACAGTTTCCTTGTGGATCTGATTAAAAGCAAAATATTACATCACAATATTTTCCACAGCCAAGATGTGATCTCAGGACTTACCATGCAAGCTTGATTAGCCCTGTTTTATAAATAGAAATTCTGAAGTACAAAGAAATAAGAGGGTTCTACAATTTAAAAGTGACTTGGGTGTCTAGTGTTGCCTTTTGGTTTATTTCATATGGTAAAAAACCCAAGCCAAACATAAGCTTCTAAAATCATTCTGACCAATTCTGAAAACATGTGATTTAAAGTTCTGGGATTTCGATCCTTGTTTTTATTTCAAAAATTGCAAAACCGGGCTTCCCTGGTGGCGCAGTGGTTGAGAGTCCGCCTGCCGATGCAGGGGACACGGGTTCGTGCCCCAGTCCGGGAAGATCCCACATGCCACGGAGCGGCTGGGCCCGTGAGCCATGGCCGCTGGGCCAGCGTGTCCGGAGCCTGTGCTCCGCAACGGGAGAAGCCACAGCAGTGAGAAGCCCGCGTACCGCAAAAAAAAAAAAAAAAAAAAAAAAAAAATTGCAAAACCCTCTTCATATTCTGAATATTCTTGAATTATTATTCTCACACTCGTATTGAGAATTGAGTTGCATCTCAACTTAGTTGCTGAACTACTTTACAGCTGCTTTAAAAAAATAATCTCTTTAATGTATCTAAGAAAAGATTGTGTTTGGGGGTCCTTTTTATTTACCTGTACTTGCATAAATGATTACAAAGAGAGGTATAATAATGCTGGATGCAGTAGTTTTGCTCTAAAATATTGCTTTGCTCTATCATCGTAAGGCATAGCTTAATTAAGATCTAAATATGTAACTTCAATTCAACTGCAGCTGAAACCAGAGAATGAAATTAGGAATTACTATACAATAACTATACAGTAATCATTTCAGCTAAATATCAAATTCATTATCAACAGATGATTTTTAATACATGTATACATTTCTAAAACACATAAAGGAGATACCTAAATCATCCCAATAACAACAAAAAAGCAACAAATATAACTCAACTGAAAGTAGCATGACAATTATGACTGATAATTGAATAACATCTCAACAGGAACTCTAAAATATTTTATAAAATCATAATTTTTATAAATTTTTCATAGAAATCTTAAAATTCTTAAGAGCTGAATATTTATTTCTGCAACTTGATTCCAATCGTGCAGGGTCCAAACCATAAAATTAGCCTCTTAATTATTCCATTACCATGACTATTTTTTTGCTCCTCATTGGCTGTGTGAGGGGGAAAACACAAGCCTTTTAGGGGTTTTTATTTCATATTTTTGCTGCATCATAGATGGGGCAAATATTTGAATATCATGGGAATTATTACACCTATTACTTTTAGTGGGAAAGTACTATAAATACAAATGATTAACTTGTAATAGTATAGAAGACCTGAAAAAACATGTGTGAAATACTAAACATCATGACAATTAATACACACAGTGTCTATCCATGTTTGTTTTCTCTTTTACCTCCCTTTAATTTATCTCAGAATATACTAAAACCGTTTATACTGAGTAGTAGACACACAAACTATCAGTGATGTGCTCTGATAAGATACAAGTGAAAAGGATTTTTAAAGCATTAGCCATTCCATTATGTTGAATTTCCATGAAGTATTTTCCTGCAAGCCATGGTACATTAAACTGTTTAAAACAGTGAAGGTTTCTCACTCCTGGGACCACACTTAGAACCAGGACTGCCCTGTCCCACAGAATGGCTGCAAAACCAGACTCTTCCTCCGGCACGTGACTGGTTTTGACTCCTTCAGTGCTGACCACTGCCAATGATAAGCACGTTTATCCCTTCCCATAGCATTTTACAACTTGGCGATAATATATAGTAAAAGGTGGTTTTTGAAGGACAGTTAGCAATTAACCATGAAAATGTCTTTTTAAAAGAAAGTACTAAATTTAAATAACACATTACCCGATAGTCAAGTTACATGCTTCAATTGAAAACTTATGTATTTAGCTGACTTACTAACTTTGAAATGTAGATACATTAGCAAAATACTACATCACAATATTAAGAATGCCTAATTCCTCATTGCAAGTCACTTTTTACTAGGTCAAGTGCATATATATATATACACACACCCACATATATATGCAGATATATATATATATATGACTTAGCTTACTATCCAATACCTGTATAATGATGTCAACATATCCTAATTTTCTTTCCAATTAGATTTAATAATAGAATAAAACCAATGAAATCTGATCTTTTCCTCTTTTACAATGAATTCTATCTTTCAGTAAGTGATTTCTACCTTTTCAAGTTTATTTTGTATTTGTAAGAAAGTATTAGTTTTAAAATCATTATTTAGGCTAAAAAATACTGAAGTATGCAACTAACATTCATTTTACGGCACATACTGCCTTTTGTTTATTCTTGGTTTTAAAACTGCTACCTAGGACTCTCAAGCTGGAATTCCACAAGATCCCCATCAATCTCAGTTATTTATTTACTCTACAAGATATGAAACTTTGAGAAACAGCCCCTTCTCTCTTGCTGCTCCATTCCTTTCACACCCACTAATTCTTCACCTGATATTAAATATCACTTGTACCACAAAAGAACCAGAAACAAGAAAACTGTTTTAGAGATTATAATAACAAGCCAGAGAGTTGGTTTGCCATACTTTATTTTTTTGATGCCATTGAACAAACAGATTTCTCATTAAGCGTAAAATCAATAGAGCTGGTGGGAAAGTTGTAAATATCTCATTAATAAGATTAATTAGTGTTTTATGTTAGCTATCCCAGCAAATTCAGATGGCTACTGTTAATTGAATTAGCAAAATTCAAGGGAAAATCATTTTGTTTTTGTCATTTTATCAATATTGGAATGGAAATCTTAATAATAGTAATTTTAATAATTAACTACTAATGTTAACAAAATCTCACTTTCTCTTAAGGGTTGGAGAAATAAATGATCTACATAGGGAAAAAAAGTTTCACATCCAAAGTATCCACCTTCTTTTTTTATTGGAATGACAGAATATACTTCAAATCAAAGTTATACCCCTATTAGAAAGGATGACAGAAGTCAACAACGAAACGAAAGCATATCAGCGCTTTCCCTCAGAATTCCAATCCACCAAAGCCCATAAGCAACTATTTATCTTTAAAGTTTAGAGACTGGTAAGGACTACTTGTCATAATGAAAAAGCAGACTATTTCCATGTATTTTACAACTAACCACTCACTGTGTAAAAAGAAATTCCACTTTATTAAGTATAAGAACGAATATTTAATTGCCATAAATCAATATTCCTGTCGTCCACAACTGGGCTACCTAAACGCCTTCTGTGTGCGAAAGGTACATAGTGTACGTGGGTGATGACCCTTGAAATTAAGATCATTAATATGCCGAGGTGATGTACAGGACCAGCTGAAAAAGCGTTACATCCATATCATGAGGAAGGCTTCACTCTGTTGTTAAAAGTTTAATCGCAGAAGCTAGTTTATTAGTAAACAAAGAATTCAACAATATTGAATCTCATCAACATTTTGTGAAGGATATTTTGCTTTATTGTTAAGAATGATAGTTATTTTGATCCATGTTAAGATATGATGAGCGATGCACGCACTAAGGGACTGCATATTGTGTGTGTGTGTGTGTGTGTGTGTGTGTGTGTGTATCCACTACGTGGTGTTTTGGACATGAAGGTAAGCGTTTAGCAACAAACTTATCGCCAGACTGCGAAACTGAACGACCTCCTTAGTAACTGCCTGAAGACCTCCCCACCGCACCTTAGCAACAGCGAAGGAGAAAGAGACTTTTCGTTTCCACAGGGCAAAGAGCTGTTGCTAAGCAAAAATTACAACCAAAAATATAGAAAACTGTAACTTGGTTTTTGAGAACCCCTTCACAAGTTTCACGATTTAACTGGCCCAATTCACTTTAATACAGACACGCAAACTCAGTGAGAAGCAAACACAATTCCCTGAGGCTGAACTTGTACCAAGCCCTCTCCCACATCCCACAAATAAGCAGTTAGTTACTTTTCATGCACCTCAAGCCAAAAATCAACCGAAAGCTCAACGGTGAGAGGTTATGTCTTCCTCTTGGCCTCTCATCCTTCTTTTCTAGTTTATTTGGCATTTCTCCCATGTCATTGATCGCGACCTTAAAACGGCTACTTGCTTAAACCCCAAAGTGTCTGGAGTCCTGTAACATCAGCTCTGCAAAGACTTGGGAGCGAACCCAAGGATGCCGCACACCTGCTAGCTGTGGCCGCGGCTGCAACCTCACCGGCCTCAACCAGCCTCCTGGGATCTTTCCCAGGTAAGCGCGGCACTTACCTGCTGCTCTCCGGGCTCCGTCGATTTCACCAGGTGCTTATCCTTGTACAGAGACCAGAGACCAATACTGGGCAGGAAAATTACAGCCACCATGAATAACAAAGTCATCTGCAGAAATCTCTTCTGTTTCCTCTTCATCGCAAATGATCACAGAGAAGAAAAGTTAAAGGAGATGGTTCCCTGACCGCCTCTTGGGTGTAAAGCCAAAGTCCTTTCCTCTCCCCTGAGAAGCACCAGAAACTGAGGGGAAGCTAAAAACTTTTGCTGTGTGCTCAGCACCAAGGTGCACGATTCAGAGGGAGTTGGGCGTCTGCAGAAGCAACGCAGAGTTACTTTCCCCCCAGAAAACTATGACGAAGGCATCATCTATTGGCTCAGAAGTAAATGACTTGACTGGGGAAATCATTCAGTCTATCGACCTCCCACTAAAAGAGCAACGGAGTAAATATCGTTTCAGAGACTAATCATAAGTTATGAAAAGGTCAATAGCATGCCAGATACTGAAGAAAACGGGGGTTTGGAGGGCTGGGCTGGCGAGGAGCGGGTGAGCAGGAGATCTGCGTGGGAAGCGGCTCAGCCCGAGCAAGTGGCAGGAAGAAAATGGTCCGCTCTTGACACTGAACATCACCTTTTCCGTCTTCCCCGGACGTCTCCTCCTGCGCTCCCCCTGGGATAACCCACCTGAACTCAAGTTCAAGTCCCTCCGCGGCCAGCGTGCTGGCGGGCTCCCGGGGGTCCGGGCGGGGAAGTGGGGTCCGGGGCAGAAGTGCTGTTTGGAGCGAGGTCCGCGAACTCCCGGGCGCTCACGCACGGTGCCGACCACCCTCGTCCCCAGGCAGCGGCTCGGCGCCCCGGGCGCCCCGGGGCGGGAGGCTCCAGAGGTCCGTGGAGTCCGGCCGGGAGGCGGCGGCGCCGCGCCGTCTGTGCTCGCCCGGCGCCCGGGCTGCTGTCCTCCGCCAAGTGCGCGCCCTGCCCATCAATCGCTCCCTCTCCTCGGCGACGCTCTCACGCCCCGGCGCTCCCGTTACCATCCTCTCCCGGCGACGGAACGTGCCCCGAGGAGCATCGCCGCACCTGGAGGACGATGCTCTCACGCTCCCCGTGCCGCGGAGGGAGGGTGGCGCCCGAGCTGAGCGGGCTCGCGGGGCGCGCGCGCGGAGGGCGAGGAGGCAGGGGCGCGCGCTGCTCCCGCCGCCGTAGCCTGGTCGCCTGCCTGCGCGGGGACGAGGCTGTGCCGGCCACGTGCGGGAGCCCGGGCCGAGTGGGGAGGGCAGCCCCCCGCTGCCAGCTCCTATATAAGCCCGCCGTGACTCCGGGAAGCGGAGGACGGCGATGCCGCCGCGGGACCGGGACTCCAGCCTCTCGTCTACGCGACCTCCTGTCTCCGCCGGGGTCGTTCGCGCGACCTCGGACCCGCGGCGAGGCCGGCGTCCCCGCTCGCCTCACCCCGAAGGCGCCAGGCCCGAGACGCAGAGGGACAGGGTGCCGGCTGCTCGCGGTGTTTCCGCGGGCTCCTCTGGGGTGCCGGCGGGCTCGGAGGCGAACCGAGCCCGGCGGTCCCGCCCGGGGGCTCCCCGGCCGCCCGGCCAGGTGCGCGTTGAACCGGGAGGAGGACGGGGACCGCGACGCCGAGGCCGGGCGGAGGCTCGGGCTCTCTCGGGCAGCGGCTAACGGAGCGACACCGCGGAGCCCGGGCGGCTTACCTGGGGCTGCAAGCGCCCGGGCCGGGTGAGATCGGCGGTGCCACCCCGCCCGTGCGACCGCACGCCGAGCTCCTGCTCGCCGCGGGCCTGCCTGTCCCTCTGACCTCGCACACCCCTGCCACGGTCCGCGGGCCGAGTCGGGGTCGAGCTCCGTCTCGGGCAGGAGGGCCTCCATGCTCTCCCCAGCATCGGGATGGACCACCGCCCCGGACCGCACACGCACGAACCTGTGGCCGCGTCTCCAAGGGACCTGCGGGCCTGGCACGGAGCAGGGGGGGCTCCCGGGCTCCTAACACCGGGCGGAAGGGGGACCTGGAGGAGACGACAGACACGCACGCAGCGCGCGCTGTGTCCGCCTGTGCGGAACCGAAAGCAAACGCCACGGTCATCTCTTTGTTACAACTAGATGGGATGCCCACATGCTTGGGGGGGGGGGATGAGAAGGTGGGTCCAGAACGGTATTTTCTCCCTCTCTCCTTTCCTGCACTTCCTCCCCTCCGTCTCCCTCCCACCTCTCTCTCCTGTCTCACTTGAGAAAGACGTAGATGTATGTGGGTGTAAAGTTATGCTTTCAGCTCCTCACATTATAATTTTAAAGTGTATCTGAACAGTACCTATTGACTGCATGAATAAAGCTTTGTGCTGCAAATTTGTTTCCGTGAATTACTTGCATTTCAGAAGAGTATATAAACACATTTAATAAATATGTCTGAATATGTCATTTGCATAAAGACCAGTTACATTTTCATTTTACACAAGTGCCACTTTGGAATCTAGAGAGCAAGGGATTTAATTCTTCACTACCACCACACACACACACACACACACACACACACACACACACACACACACTCCCTTTTATGCCCTGCATTTTTTAACCTTTTTCTCTTTTAACAAGTGCAATTCTGAAGCATGGAACTATGAATTCTGGGAAGCAACATAGCAGGGACAGGTTTGCTGGGATGATGGATCCTGAAGGAAAAGATTTTGGAGGACTATTTAAGTATATTGGATATTTTCTGTCTTGTAGATAGAGTTATTAACAATTAAAAGAACTCAAAATTGCCCTTGGACTTAGAAAATTAAAAATCCCTCACATTTAAAATAATATCAGTTTCTTTATACCAAAACCAAACAAGCACACAAACAAAAACACAAATCCTGATGACAAACAGACAAACAGACATATCATGCTGGTTGCTAAATCCAGGATTCTGACTTGAATTGTGCTTCATTATTGTTACACTAGTAAACAGTCCTGCAAACAGTACCCACTCCCAGCACATGGTTACTTATAGTGAATGGGTATAACTGTTACTTCCCACAGGAAGTACATGCAGAACACATGGCAGAGACTGGAAGCAGCAAATTATTATGTTCACCCCTGCTTTTACAGTGTAGCTCTAGACAATCATTCCCCCACCCCTCATTTTATTTATTTTTTTAGTTGGTTATTACCTCTTTCATGATTCCACATCTAAATTTCTAACAGATGACAAGGCTTCTAACTAAAATTGATATTTTAGGTTTTACAAACAAACAAAAAAAACCCTCTAAGTGACCGCTAATTCCTTTGTTCAGCTAATCCAGATTAAATACCAATATAAATATAAATATATATATAAAACACATTCTTTTCAAATTGGTTATTAATATCGATTTAATCAAAATCCTCTATCTTAAAAATTTGTCTTATATCCAGAGACCCCCTTTTCACCCCCGTTTGCTCCTCCATTCTGTTATGACTCAACTGGCAACCTCAGGTTATCAAAGTACCATGTGCCTAGCACTGTGTTAAAACCTACGGGGACACAGGGAGGAAAAAAAAATAAAGCAATAACTGGGACCTTGAATAGCTTACAGTCTAGTTGAAAATGTAACAGGAAGGCAACTGTAATGAAGTGCCTAAGCTCAGCTCTTTGCGTTAACTTCCACTTGAGCCAGGTTTAAGCCCTACCTTGAAAAATGCAGGAGGCTATTGCTTTAGTTAAGCTCTGCTCTAAAATTTGGTGACTTAAAAGAAATATCTGACTATCTCTCAAGATTCCATGCGTTTGAATAGGCTCAGCTAGGTGGTTCTGCTTTATGAGATGTGGCCTGGGGCTGGGGGCTGACGAGGTCAAAACATTGGGCCCAGATGGCGCCCCCATGTGCCTGGCACTTGACACTGACTGTCAGCTGAAGATCATTTGGGGCAGTCAGTAGTAACTGAACTTGAAAGAAAAACATTTGCTCATGATTTTGCCATATTAACAATTTTTTTCACATTTATTAGTTTAATGCTTTACATCTGAAAATGATAAGCCTGGTGAATGTCTCTTGTTTCATAAACCAAAGAAAGGTCATCAACAATCTCTGTGTTTTTACCTGAACACTATAGATTCACAAATAAGCATTTGTTAATAAATATAACAACATGCTATAATAACGTTGTAAGAGAAGATTAAAAATAATTGATTTTAAGGTCCTACGATAGTATATTATCTACATTTTTAAGAGGTGATGTTGAATTTTATCAGTGAAACAATACCTAGTCTTGCCTAGGGTCTTAATATGGTTTGAGTTTATTTAGATCTGAGTTTTTCCAAGCTTTTATCAGAAGGCACAGACTCTAGAGCATAAAGGTAATGTGTCTAGAAATTGAGAAATATTCTGTTATTTTATCCAATAATGATATCTGCAATATAAAAATATTGAAATTTTTCCCTCTGAATAAACAATTAGGATACTTTGTTATTAGTATACCTTTGGCTAAGTTACCTCAGTTTTTTGGGAAAAAAAAGATCCTCCAGTGAAAAGTGGAAAGTGACTATCTTAATAGTAATTATAGTATAATAGTAATTATAATAAAAGTAAATTTAAATTATACTATTAATTTTGTGTGATTATATTAAGACACATATTACAGGAATCTTCATCAATTTATTTTTCTGGAATTTCAGCGTTTGCCACGACACAATAAAGAGAAATAAGGGCTAAGATAAATATTAAAATGTGATATTTCCCAGTCTCTATCATCACTGACATTCTTCACCAAAAACCCCTAGTCAATTTCTATACATATTCAAGTGCTGTTGGGCAGAGGATATAGAGGTGAACATTCTCAGAGTTTTCAGCACCAGAAAGGAGTTAAAAAGTGTCTGCAATTAAGTGTGGTACAAATTAAAAAGTGACAAATGCTAAAAAAAAAAAGCAAAAGGAGGTTATTCCTTCTGGGCCTAAATATTTTCAAACTACACAAGTTCTTTACTTTACAGTATTTAAAGTCTTAGTCATCAAATTTACCTCTAAATATACTTCTTCCTCTGCCAACAGAACATACCTTTACTCAAATATATTTTCTTT